ATCTCTTAACTTTTGAAGGTTTATTTTCATTTCAATTTAAGATTGTGGCAGCAGAAAATGTGAGTTAGGGATAGCAATTTTAGGCAAAAGAAAAAAAAATTAAAAATTGGCAATGTAGTCATTTTATATTAAATATGAATTCGGTATGAAATTTGTTTTGACTGCACAGTTAAACACAAAGAGGAGTTTACTGAAAAAAAGTTATAAAATTAGCTTTAGAAAATCAAGCCAGGAAACTGCTGTTGTGCATTTATTCCACACCATTCCGTAGGGTTCTCATAAGCAAGAAGTAAACCACCCTTTCTTCTGGTTACCAAATTTCCAATTTAGTTCCTGAAGTTAATTAGACTGATGACTTCTACTTCTCCAATGTGCACTCTACCTTTGCCTCAGCTCACATGATGCTATGATACTGATCTATGCTTTTGTTGCTTTTTGACTTAATGGGCTGAATTTTGGCAAAAAATAGTTAAGTGTCAATTTCAGGGAGTTTCATGTAGGGTTTCTCTCTGTGAGCTTTAGGGAGTTACCTGACACAATTCTCTGCTCTCACCTTCAAAATGTAAGCACTATGTCTCTATAGCGCCTCTCTCTGGTCTTTGCGTGCTCATCAGCAGTAGCACTCGTCACTGCCAGAGATTTCCCCCACCAACGCCATATTTAATACCCAACAGCATGTTAAATGCTGCCAACCATGAATAGCTCTTCATAGTACCTGCAGTAGGAGGGAAACAAGCAAACAAAAGCTTCTGAGGGCACGTAGGTGGTCTGGGTGACATTTCATTGCAAATAGAACCTTGTGTTTGTAAAGGTATTGCCACTTTTCATTGTCACCTGTCTGATCAACTGTAGTTGTGACTGCAGGTACAAGAATGAAGCTACACAGGGTTACTGTTCTTTGCACCCTATCATGTTAGAACCCTGTTTGAAGGGTTGCCATTTCTTCTCTCACACCCAGTTTAGCATATCATGTCATTGTTTAATGCAGGAACATCACATGTTGGAAAGCCTCCAGACAGTTGAAAACATTAACCTTTTAAAGCAAAGCAATAGTCAAGATAGGGTAAATAAAAAAAACTGCATTTTCTTCTGGGACTAAAAAGATTAGCCTTAAATATTACAAATGCAAGGGAATATAAAGCAAGTAATTACAATGTGGTTTCATAATTCAACCTTTAAAGTTCTGGTAATAATTTAGTAAACTTGTGCTGTAGCTTAGCTCCCTTTCAATGGGCAATAAACTTCCTGATCCTAAGTGACCAGAAAAATTCAACCCATCACTGTAGAAATCCAGTTGTGATCTACTTGTGACATGGGTGTGTGAGTTTAATATCATTTATTTTTGTGCTTGGATTTTTGATTTTGAACTAGTGCCACATAGGTTTTCTGTGTCTTTGAAAGGATTTAGTGATTAACTTCGAAGTTTTTGGATAACCATGGTGATTTCTTTCAAAACACAGCACGACAGAACAAACTCCTGAGGAGTAATGTGTTTTTATTTAGATTGGGAGATTTTTAACAAAATTAATACCTGTGCTTTAGACTCCAATGTAGAAGGAAAAGGATTGACTTTTTTTAAAATAGGGTTTTGATTTGGGGAAGCACCCATACACTGAAGTGCTTTTTTTAGTTGCACTTTGAGCACTTTTTGGCAAGGTTTTGGTTGAAGCTGTAAGTCTAAAGCATTTGTTCCTGAAAAAGAGAGAATATAGTTTAGAATTGTTAAAATAAATTATGTCAGTTTAAAGAATATGGTAGAACTTCCAGACCTGAAGTGTTACATGTAAATAATTTGGTTTGTTCTAGCTATCTTCAATTCTTTCGCACAACAAAGTAGTTCTGTTGTTAATACCAAATCTGCAGCAGTGTGTTTATGTTTCAGAGACACCACCACGATAAAATTAAAAAGATCTATCCAAACAGATTTCAGTCAAGGGTCTGAGTTGTTCACTATTCACATGAACTGGCATCAATACAAACTGTACTGAACTCTCAAGCCCTGCACACTTTTTACACGATGTTTTTGTTTCATTGGCCTTCACTATCAACAATGGTAGGTAAACAGAATGCGATCAGATATTTCAATGAATATGTCAATGAATACACCTTCCCTAACGAGGAAATGAAGGATTATAACAAGGCTGAAACTTCCTCGTTAAGGGAGCTTTTTTTTTTGATGCCTGGGAACCATGTTTTGAACCAGTCGGACACAATTACTTGCAGCACCCACGCGGGGAATTCTGACTGGACAGAAAGGTTAATAGGTCGTTTGATTATCGGTAAAGTTAGCATCCTAAGATTGCAAATGGTTATACAGCTATAAATGCTTGCTACTGCATTTTGCAGCAGCTTCTGCTGCTTTGCTGTTTATCTGCAAAAGCTGCAATTGTCCAAGCAGCGCACGCACACACAGGCGGCGCGCGCATGCTCGCTGGCTCGGGCTATGAATGTACCAGGTTTGTATCTGTCTTCATCAATGTATCTTGCAAAAACTGAGTGGCCAAAATAAGATTTGAATTGCATTTTATTCTCTTTTTTTTAAAAAAAAATGCCGAATTGATTATACCCGCGGTCGGGTTTCCATAGTTGCAAATTACATCCGTAAATTGAACCAGGGGCTTTTAAAACAGGAAGACAGCCTGAGTGCCCTTCCTGCCTTGGTGTAAATACATCTGAGCTCTGGAAGCATGGATTGTGGACGTGCGTTGTGCGATCGATTGTTAAATGTGTTATATGAGGCTTAGTTAAGTCAGTTTAAAAAATAGCAGTGGCCCTGTTGGTTTGAAGCATACGATTGGCATGTAGTTAGGTTCATGTGCGCCTTGGTGTTAGGTGAAAAACAAAGTACAGGGATCAGTTGAAAAGTTGCAATACTAAAAAGGTGATTTTTTTAAAAAAAATGCTCAAAAAAATCTATCACCGTTTTGAACAAATTTCATCTTTGGATGGGATCATTCTCAGATCACTATTAAGCTTTGCAGACCAAATGTTTCTGCTTTTCAATTGGAAATCTTTGAGTTATCTGATCAAATCTGGGACTTTGTAATCGGCCTCAGCACTGCTGAACTGGAGGGAAGGTCAGCAAAGTCTTTTGCTTCTGATTATCGCTAAGTGACACTTGATCGCAAGTATAGGTGTGTGCTGCAGATAGGACCATAACTGGGCTCACTTCTGGCATCTTCCAGTCAAATCGGTTGCTGACAGTACCTTGTAAAGGCTGGGGCGACAGAAAAGCTGTTGCCTTCAGTCCCTGCCACAAACTCTGCTTCCTGCCTACTGACTAGAGGATAGATTTTAAAAATTTGCAATAAATGTTAGGCAAACCATCAAAATCCATACCCTATAAATGATTTAAAAATCAGTAGCCCACAGCACTGTTGATGTTTAGCCAGTTAGCTTAGTTCGCTACTGCAATCCTAAGATCTATCACTCAGGCTGAAATTCTTCTTATTTGGTTTCAGATGCTAATCTTCCTTTTCTTAATACTTGGGTGGTGTAAAATTATCCAGATTATTAAACATGAATTCCTGCTTCTTAATCTGATTTTACAAAACTTTTCCAATCCTAGATCAGTAGCTCCAAGATGACTCAAAATAACTGCATGTTCACTTGTTGCATTTTTTTTTAATCTTCACAGAAATTCTCTTTCTTTAGCAGCTGAGAGAAGCAGAACTATTTACAATTTTTAGACTGAAATGTGAAGATAGAGTACATTTTTCTAACTGTTGGGCCTTGTATTGCTCATTTTGTCCATCCACGCTTGAGCTAGTCGGCCAATTGAATGCATTTGATTGTCCTACTTTGACTCAGAGGAATGGTAGAATGCAGCTTAAAAGGACACCGTTCAGCCCGACATCATTGTGTTGGCTGTTTTGAAAAGCTTTGTTCCACTCAACTGTTCATTCATGATAACATTGCCGTTTTGCATCCTTCAGATATTTATCTAATTTTGAAAGTGTTGAATTTGTTTCCAGTGACCTTGTAGGTGCTCACTCTAGATCATAATGAATTTCTGTAATTTAAAAAAAAAATCTGCTTACCTCCCTCTGATTATTTTGCTGATTACCGTAAACTGTGTTCTCTTCTTTTTGGCATGGCCTGCCTTTTTTCAAGCATTCTTGGTGTCCCTGATCCTGCAGTTTCTTTAGGATTGCAATATTTAGTTTACATTGCTTCATTCATCCTTCCAAAATACATCATTCATTGTCACAAAATTATATAATCTTTTATTTTGGAGACATCTACTTCAAGCTTGTTAGAGAAAATAATTTCTTTCTCTAGTCATTCTCCTTTCTGCCCCAGAACAATCAACTTTTTCTTGTACTATTACAATTTGCTTCTTGGCTAACTACCATTTGAAGCGTTTGATCCAGAACTTGCACTCTGATGCGTCACATTGTCTTTCTTGTCACCTTGGATTCTGAAATTGTTTCAACTCAAACTCCGAGGTACATTTGCATTTATTTCAGATGTACTTGTCTGAGTAAATTTTAGATTCCATTGAAATGTTTTAAGCACATAAAGCACTGTGAATAATAAATAGAATCCCTATTAAGTCCACACTGATCCTCTGAAGAGCAACCCACCCAGACTCACCTCCTTTGTCTATCCCTGTAACCCTGCATTTCCCACGGCTAAGCCACCTAGCCTGTGCATCCCTGGACACGGTGGGTAATTTAACATGGCCAATCCACCTAACCTCACGTCTTTCGACTGTGGGAGGAAACCAGAGCACCCAGAGGAAACCCACACAAGTTGCCTGAGAGTGGAATGGAGCTCAGGTCCCTGGCACCGTAAGGCAGCAGTGCTAACCACTGAGCCACCATAAACCAATGGCCATTATTTTACTACTTGTCTGTCAGTTAGATAAGTAAATTTGTGCTGTTAAGTGTAAATTACACATATTAAATATTTCTTGTGTGCAATACAGTAATAAATAAGTATGTCTGAATTTAATTTCTTACCAACTCCATATAAACCACAGATAAATATCTCCCTCCATCATAGCTCCCAGTGTATGAGTTTGTTTGAAGTCACACAGTCTTGAAGACTTTTTTTGTCTTCTGAGCAAGATTAGTTCAGTAGTTAGATTAAATTTTCAGTGATCCCTTGGATCATTCAGGGTGCCCTTTGTTTTGGCAGGCACTGTATTTCTGCAGAGTCTCATCCTTGTCCACTAATTGTCACAGAGATGGATTGAAATGTATTTGTTTAGTGTCTCTGCAATTTCCTTATTTCCCACCATAATTTTTCTTTTCTCTGCCTGTAAGGGATTTGTGTTGAATTTTTCCAGTCTCTTTGTTTCATACGTCCATATATCAGCTTTTACAATATTTAAGTTTTCTTGCTGCTTACTTTTTCATAATTTCTTGGTTATTCTCTAGTAAAACCTAAAATCCTCCCAATCCTCTAGCTTCTTGCTTATTTTGTTAACATTGTGTTTTCCCTAAATCTAATTCACCATAACCTCTCCAGTCCAGACATTTGAAGTCTGGAAACACTGAAAGATCTACAGACTAACCATTCAGTTAGTTCAATGGTGCAAACAGTTTGAGCCCATTACCGGTAGTCCACCCAGCAACACTAGTAGTTACCAAACAGTAAACACATCTGACTATTCCTGGCATTGTGGTAGAGCTTGACTTTCACGGTGGCTCATGCCTTTCGATGACTGTGATCAATAGACTGAGTTTCGATGCTGCCAACACAACAAACCTGATGCCCACATGAAAAAGCTACTGCAGCAAAAACAGTGGCATGGTCTGCTTGCCCAAAACACAATGTTGAAGATTTAATGAACCCTCCAACAGGTCAAACAGTGTCAAATTTTCAACAAGATAAAATATGCCTGAGTGACACTTCTTATCTCTCTGGGTGGCCACTGACCAGAAGGTTGTCATGGATAATGAAATAATGCAATATGATAAAATAGTTTTCCAGTTTCATACTTATTAAATATGTGCAGTAACTAATAAAGGAGCTTGTGCACACTGTGCATAACATTCTTCCAATTTTCCAAATGTATATATTTCTCCATTGGCTTCTGGCTCACACATTTGAGGTTCGGTATTCTGACATAGGAAAGTGGGATCACAGGAATAGGAACATGAAACCAGGAGTATGCCATTCAGGCCCTTGAACCTGTTCTGCCATCCAGTGGGACCATGGCTGATCTGCGATTTAACTCCATATGGCTGCCTTTACCCTATATCCCATAAATCAGTCTATAAATCAGAAACAAAACCGAAAGCCAGAAATGACATTGATTGCGAGACGTCTTTAACTCTCTTAACAGCTGTACTGTCTTAGTTAGGACCAGTTAGACTATATTTCTTGTGGAGCTTTTATGCCTCAACAGAATATATACCAGGTGTAAAATATGAATTATTCTTTAATATTTTATTTTCTATTTGCTATGGCATACTAAGCCATTTAATTGGGGCAGTAAATATTTTGAGGGAGTAGCTCTAATATTATTATTTAAATTTTAGCAACAAATTCCAGATATTTAAAATCTTTAGATCTGGCAGCTGTTGTAGGATTGAATATACGGTATTTAGTATTTTTAAAGCTACAACATTTCTGTTTATCTGTCTGATGAGAAAAAAAAATTTGACTGTGTACCTGTTGAAGAGCAACCACTTTGTTCTAAGTTATTTTTATGCCAGAGATGCCAATGGTGAATAATGGTAATTTCCAATTTTTTGGGAAGTGAATTCGGAGTGTTCTATTGTTCCAAGCAATTTAATGTTTTCAATATCATTGAAGGTTTAACTCTGTAGGTGAAATGACAGAACTGAGAAAGAGAACACAGAAATGTTTAGAAGAACCCGCCATTCAGGAGGAGACCAAGTCAGTAGTGGTAGCAGATGCAGAGTCTGCTCCAAAGGATGAGGGTGAGCAAGTCTGTTCCGAGGAAATCCTTTCCAAGGAGGAAGAAAAGAAGGAAGAAAAAGAGGAGGTGAACGCAGCAAAACTGACATTGAAAGACAAAATAGTCGGCATAGGAAGCAAGGATGCAAAGAGCAAATGTGAGCATAGTTAATTTTTTTTTTGAAATTTTGTTCATTTGTGGGGTGTGTTCCGCTGACAAGACCAGCATTTAAAGCAAATTTGTTTAATGAGTTTAATTGCTAAAGGCATATCCAGAAATGGTGGAAAGGTTAACATTGGGAGCGCTCAAGAAACAAAATTGAGGGGATCACCGCTATCTAGGTAGATTGTATGGTTCATTTATTGCACCTCGCTAATTGCCCTTGAGAAGATTGAACTGGATTCTTGATACTAATGAGTTGCTTGCTAGGCCATTTCAGAGGCAATTAAAAGTCAACCATATTGCTGTGAATCTGGAAACATATGTAGGCTCGTCTGGGTAGGAATGGCAGATGGCTTTCCTAGAAAACATAGTGTACTAGCTCAGTTTTTACATCAGGTAGTTTCATCATCACCCTCACTGATGCTAACTTTCTAGTTTATTTCAGAGTTAAATTAATTACATTCTTGAGTTGCCATCGTGAGATTTCAAAAGTTAAGAAACATAACCGCTAGCAGTGTGATCCTCTTTTCTTTCTTTTACCTGCAATGACATTTTAAAGATTTCTGTCTAAAGATTGTCATAGTTAGCAGCTAACATTTATTATCAGTAGAAATTGTGCCAAGTAATTTATTCTCAGTTTTATTTCACTTAGAGACTGGTGTAAACAATGCAGGTGTTATTGTATTGAATGAGAAATACTTGGGAAGAATAGAACTCGCTTGTCATCACAAGAAACCAATTTATGGTGTTTAAGAAAAGACTTCTCACACTCACTACCAGTTTATCTAATATCTCCTCATAACTAAAACCTTCTTCAAGCCCAGGCAACATCCTGTTAAATCTCCTTTGCATCCTCTCACTTCAGTCACATCCCTCCTATAATATGGATTCTAGATTTGCACACACTAATCAAGCAGTGGCCTAACCAATGTTTTATACAGCTCCAACAAAGTCTCCCTGCTCTTAAACTTTATGTCTCAGCTAATAAAGGTAAGCAACCCAAATGCCTTTCATGGCATCACTTCTCTATATCTCCGTAATCTTTGTAGAATCATACAGTACCGAGTCTGAACGGACAAAAAAAACCTAGTTCAAATGTACATTGCCTCCTACTTTCCAATACTTGGCAAATAGCCTTGAATACTATGACATTTCAAGTGCCCATCCAAGTACTTTTAAAGCTTCTGAGGTTTTCTGCCTCAACTACCCCCCTCAAACGCAGTGCATTTGAGATTCCCACCTACCCAAACTTTTCCTCAAATCCCCTCTTAAACCACCTGACTTTCACCTTAAAAATATTCCCCCTTGTTATTGACCCTTCAACTAAAGGGAACAGCTGCTTTTTATCCAGCCTGTCCATGTCGATCGTAATCTTACACACTCCAATCAGGTCTCCACTCAGCTTTCTCTGCTCTAATGAAAACAATCTGACCTTATCCAGCCTCTGTTCATAGCTAAACTGCTCCATCCCAGGCAACATCCTGGTGAATGTTCTTTGCACCCCTCCAGTGCACTTATATCCTTTTATATAGTGTGGTGACCAGGAGTGCACACAGAACTCCAGCTGTAGCCTAACTAAACTTCTGTACAACTCCAACATAACCTCATTGTTGTTATAATTTATGCCATGACTGAAAGGAAAGTGTTCTGTATGGCTTCTTAGCTACCCTATCAACCTGTCCTGTCACCTTCAGGGATCTGTGCCTAAGCACCCCAAGATTTTTATCCTACCAATATCACATACACCTAGCCACAGACAGTGCTTAAGCACCAAAGCCCCATTGTTTGCCTACCATCCCTGGCAGGCCTCAAAGCTGCATTAATGTGAAGTCTCATGTTTAATTTTCGTGCAAGCTTCATATTCACATCTCTCAACTTCCATAGACTGAGAACTGTTCAAATGTGACAGCTGCAAGGACCAAACAAATGGCACAACTTTCACTGGCAAAAATGCTCATCCTGTAAGTGAAGATAGTTTTAGTATAGAAGGGCAAAATGTGTTGGCACAGGCTTGGAGGGCTGAAGGGCCTATTCCTGTGCCGTATTGTTCTTTATTCTTCATCTGTTTCTCTGAGCTCCCTAGTATTCCATCATTCATTGAGTGTTAAAACCCATCTGCTATTGATCTGACCAATCCAACCTAAGACCTTCTTCCTCACTGTCAACTATCTGGCCGATATTTGTGTCATCTACAAACTTGCATTTCATACTGTCATATTTTCTTCTCTATCACTTACATATGTCACAAACAATAAGGCACCCAGTAATGATCCTTGTGATTCGCTACTGGATACCAGCCTCCAGTCACACAAGCTACCTTCTACCACCATCCTCTTTCTCCTACAGTTAGCTGATTTTGGATCCAACTAGCCAAGTTACCTTCTTGATCAGTTTTGGAGACTGTGTCAAAAGCTTTGTTGAAATCCATATTAAATACATCAAGTGCACTACCATCATCTATACACCTGGTCACCTACTCAAAATTCAGGCAAATTTGTTAGGTATGATCTCCCTCTGACAAAGCCATGCTGACTATCCCTGACCAAACCGTGCTTGCTCGTTCTTTAGAATTTTCTTTGGCAGTTTTCCTTCCACCGATGAGATTCTCTGGTCTGTAATTCCCCAGGTAGTCCATCTGGTTTTGTTTCTTTGTTAGACATTTTTATAGTGATTTTTACAACTAAGTGGCTTGCTATTTCAGGCCACATCAGCGGGCACTTGAGAGTTACCCACTTGCTTTGGGTCTGGAGTCACGTGGAGGCCAGGCTAGGAAAGGATGGCAGATTTCCTTCCCTGAATGGTATTAGTGAACCAGTTGGAATTTTTCCAACAATCGGCAATGGTTTCATGGTCATTATTAGAGTTTTAATTCCAGATATTTATTGAATTTAAATTCCACCGTCTGCCACGGGGACTTAAACCTGGCTTAATAGACTAGTGGCAGTACCTCTAGGTCATTGCCTCCCACTTGATATACTTATGGAATATCTTGGGCATCTCCCTAATCTTACCTTTCTTTTCTGTCCCTCTTTGCTCTCCTAATTGCTTTTTTAAGTTCACCTCTGAACTTTACTCCACCAGGGCCTCAGTTGATTTTTTTTTTTCCCTTTGTACCTGTTAAAAGCCTGTCTTTTCCTTCTTTCTGGGTTCTCTTGGTTTGTTGCTCCCTCATTTCACCCCAAAGGGAAGGTTTTGGGCTTATTGGGCTTTTTTAAAAAAATAATTTGTGCCTTCAAATGTTTTATTATCCCAAAGATGCTATAAAGTAAAAGATGCTGCTATTCTTTTTACTGTTGAGTGTGATTGCCTCCACTGTTTCTCTACTTATTTCATCTCATGTAGTTATCTTCTCTGGGGGTTCAATCATGGATATCCTTTCCTATGATACATCACCCTGACACAGTCTATCCTACATACATCTCCACATCCTGAACAATGTGGTTGACTCTTAAATGGCTTCTGACATGATCTAGAAAAGCCACTTGGTTGTATTCAAGAAGCCAGTTTACAATTGCCTTCGCAATGACAGTTAGAATTGTGCAATAAAATAGCCATACAACCCTCTGAGATGTTTGTGCCCCGCTCATGTTTGTTTCTTGAGCATCCCCAAATTTAATCCCTCTACCATTTCTGGCCTTGCCTTTAGACATTACACTCTACACTAAAACCTCGCTTCCTCTCCACCTCATTTTCTTCCTTTAAGACATTCGTTAAAAACTTGCCCTTTTGACTAAGCTTTTAGCCTTCTGCTGTAGTAAATCTTTATTATATTCAGTGTCTTTTTTTTCTTTTGTAACCTGTGCCTTTAGATGTTTTATTAACCCAAATGTGCCATAGACATACAAGATGCAATTGAACCTTTTACTGTTGAATGTGATTGCCTGTATGATTTCTCAAGCTCACTAGTCTCAAGTTTCTTCATTTGTGCCTGTGTGCTTATGATTTCCGTTGCGAACAACATTGGTTTCAATTATTTGTCCAAAATAAATGGAGATAAAAGCGGTGCCACCTTCCACCCCTATGTTATCTAATTCTCCACTTATAGTTCAGTTTACAACCTTCTCTCAGAATTGAGACAATTCTGTTACAAAGGGGTGGTCGACACCTGTCTGCGAAACCCCCAGAGAAGCTTGCCTGACCTCGTAATCTGTTGAAGGAAGTGTGTGATGTAGTATAATCTGCCTCTTACCCCAAATCTGTTCTAAAGGAGTGGTTAAATGAAAGAAATCCCTGATACTCACTTTATAATCAACAAGTAACAATTTATTTATCTGACAGAACAGTGAACAAATTATCAAACCAAACAATTCCCCCTTAACTACTAAGTATTCCTGAATAAAATGAAGTTCTAATGGTATGCTGTTCCAATAAATACAAGTCCCACTTATATGAACCAAAGTAATAATAAGAAAAAAAAAGTCTGTCAAAATTACAGCCAGGATAAGTCTTCCAGAATGTTGTTTGTCTTCTCTGCTGTTTTCCAGTTAGGAACACATTCCTCCATCAAATTCTTATGTCAAGAATATTAGCTAAGAGTGCCATAGAACCTTCATTTAGATGGTGCTTAATCTGAGAGCTTGGAGATTTCTGGGAGAGCCAGTAACTTTCACTTTCTATAGAGCTGATGGCTGTTGAGAACTGTCCTCTTAATAGATGGTAGTTTGCTCTCACCCCGGTTTTCAAATAACCTCTTCTTTCATACCCTTGATGACCTATTAATTGGTTCTAGGTTGTCAAAAGCATCAGATTTAAATTTAATTGGGTTTTGGTATCTAGGGCCTGGTTTAAATTAATTGGCTAAATTCAAAAACCTGTTGTCTTGATAAAAATACTGCTTTTTCCTGCTAACGGTATAGCCTTTTGATGCAATGTTCAATTTCAAGAACTCCCTGTGCAACTGCTGCTGCCTGCAGATCTTTTTAATTTTCCAAACCTAAAAACAAGTCTTTTAAGGGGACCACGCACTCTTTTTCTTCCCCCCCCCCGCCCTATCATTTTACAATCGTCAAATACTCTGCCCAAGCTCACAGCAGCTCTGACTAAAGATAGGAGTAGTACCCTTTAATGTAGTATTTTGCTCTTCCTAAATCCCTCTGCAGTGTTATCAATATTTATAGTGTTCGCAGTTTTCATAAAGATATGCATGTCACAGAATTAAATTTTTCCAGAAGTGCTTGCAAATATCTCCTAATAAAAGTATTACTAAATCAATTTAGTAATTTTGTAAATTTGGGATAAATATAAAATGACTGGAATCTGAAATGCATTATCTGTTTCACTGTGGCCATGTACCTTTTTCCCTTGTGAACCAGCTCTGTTTGATGTTTTAAATTTCTGTCTGCTGCTGCACATCAATTTTGAGTTTATGCTGTTTTGAATTTGAACAATTTGAATTTGGCATCAGAGGTAGTAAGAATTGCTGATGCTGGAGTTGGAAATAACAGTGTGGAGCTGGAGGAACACGGCAGGCCAGGCAGCATCAGAGGAGTCGGAAAGCTGACGTTTCGTGTCCGGACCCAAAATATCAACTTTCCTGCTCCTCTGATGCTGCCTGGCCTGTTGAATTTGGCATTGCTTTGTTCCAAAAAACAATTACTATTTGATGTTTGGAATAATTCTGGGAATCCAGTATCTAATGTAAGAAAAAAACAAATCAATGCATGTTGGAAGAACCAATTGTTCCAAACTCTCAGGGCTATCCAAACTTAGTTGAAATTTAGCTTGAACATTATCTGTAAATTACAATTAAATTTAATTGTAATTATACCCTTATGCACAGGTCATTGTGGAACAGAGTTGCACAAAGACAGCCTATGGTTTTATAAATAAGCAATCCAATAGGACTGGACTATAATTTTGTTTAACATTGTTTCCGAATTAATTTTGACTTATAACAATGAGTTAATGTGTTGTACTGCGCTAAGTTGCACCTGTTCTGACCTTGACCTTAAGGCGGAAAAGAGGCACATTCAATTGTAAAAGTTAACTATGTTAATTAATACTGTTGCTTTCAACAATTGCAAGTGGATATGTTTATGTATACAAATTATTGTTATTCTAGTCTGTATTTAAAAATTTAAAAGACTATGTCTGAAGTTTCTATGTTTTCTATATGTTTGCAAGTTCTTTTTAATGTTTTGCAGCTGCAGTTCATCAGTGGGTAAAGTTTTTCTTTGGCAGCTGGGCAGCAATTGCAAGTGGAATGTTATATGCTGTGTACCTTTCCACCTTTCATGAAAGAAAATTCTGGTTTTCTAGCAGGCAGGTGAGTTTGAGGCTTAAATTAAGCAATGCATTGGGGATCTGAAATAAAAACAAAAAAAGTTTTGGCAATATTCAACAGGTCTGAGGTTTATCTAAATTCCTGTTGATCATAATGTAAATGTCATTGTACCATCCTGCTGTCAGCCCTTCTCCCCCACAATCCTCCATTTCTGCAAGTGGTGACTCTCACTAATAAGCAGATGTGGTTCTCTGGTAACTTGTTCTGTAGTTATTTTTCACATGTAAATAAAGGCAATTGTCAAGCTTTATCAATGATCCTTGAACCAGATGATTGAAAGACCAGTTTAAAAACAGCGGGCTGCTGGTATTGATTGTCAGTTTCACAAAATCACAGAAATGTTACAATGCAGACTGGGCCTGTTCAGCCCAGCTGTCTGCACCAGCTCTCCGAATGAGCACTGTGACTTAGTGCCATCCTCTTGTCCTTTTCCCATAATGCTGTTCATTGTTTCTATTCAAATAATCACCTGATGTCAACTTGGATGCTCTGATCCTGTCATTTTCAGGCAGTGCATTCCAGAACTACTTGCTGTGGCAGAAAAAATGTTTTCTCATAGTGCACTTGCTTCTTTTGCAAATCACTTCAATCTATACCCTCTCATTCTCAGCCTTTTATGAGTGGACGCAGTTTCTCCCTATGCTGTCTATAGTGAGGAGGTGATGGCCTAGTGATATTATTGCCAAATGGTTAATCCAGATACCCAGGTAATGTTCTAAGGACCCGGGTTCAAATCCTGCCACAGCTGATGGTGGAATTTGAATTCAGTTTAAAAAAAAATGGTCTGGAATTAAGAGTCTGTTGATGACCAATTGTCAGAAAAATCCATTTGGTTCACTAATGTCCTTTAGGGAAGGAAACTGCCATTCTTACCTAATTCTTACCTTGCAGTTCTGAGGAAGGGTCACCGGACCCGAAATTTTAACTCTGATTTTTTTTCTTCACACATGCTGCCAGATCTGCTGAGCTTTTCCAGCAACGTCTGTTTTTGTGCCATTCGTACCAGGTCTGGCCTACGTGTGACTCCAGACCAACAGCAATGTGTTTGACTCTTAACTGAACAAGATGGGCAATAAAGGGTTTTGGCCCAAAACATTGACTTTCCTACTCCTGTGATGCTGTCTGACCTGCTGTGTTTGTTCAGCTCCACATTTATTGACTGAAGATGGGCAATAAATGCTGGCCAAGCCTGCAAAGCCCTCATCCCATGAATGAATTAAAAAAAACTCAGTGTAGACTTTTTCATAATTTTGATAACTTCTATCAAACTTCATCTTCACCTTTTCCTCCTCAAGGAAGTAGTCTCACTTTCCAATCTACCTTCATAAATAAAGTTCCTCATCCCTGGAACCATGCTTGTAAGCTTCTGCTGCACTGTCGAATGCATTCATATCCTTCCTGAAGTGTGTTGCCCAAAACTGTACACTATACTCCTGTTGAGGTCAAATGAGTGTCCAAATTAGAAGCAGAAGTAGGCCATTTAGCCCTTCAACCTAGCTTCACTGTTCAATAAGATCATGCCTGAACTTTATCTGCCACCTTTCAATCGGTTCTACTCCACCATCTCGTCAATGTCCCTTAGAAGTTTGATACTATCCTCCTCACAGTTTGCAATGCTTCCAAATTTTCTATCTTGGAAATTGTCCTGCGTACACAAGGGCCTAAATTATTAATATATAACAGGAAAAGCAAGAATTCCAGGACTGATTCCTGGGGAACCTCACATCTAAAGCTCCTCCTGTCCAAAAAGTAGCCATTAACCATTACATTTTTTCCTATCACTTTTTTTATTTTACTCTCAATTCTTCTGACCCTTTTTTATTTGTTAATATTTATAGGATTCAATGGCAAGGTCTGTGCCTAAGAAATGATGCCAGCACATGGACAGGCTGTATCCCCAAATGAATGTATTTTTGGCAGTTGGGGATCAGGTGTAAGATGGAAGGGTCAAATTTGAATAACTGCTGTGGAAAGTAGAGGAAAAAAAATCTACTCTTTCCAATGAGTTCTGTAGGCCTAGTATTGAATATTGAGGTTTACTTGAATGGTGATAAATATTCTAATACAATCGTTACAGGCAATCATCCCAATATTTTTCCTTGCTTTTGACATGCATCTTTCTGAAGTTGCATACTGACACTAACTATCCCCACAACACACTTTGTTATTCAGATGAGCAGCGGCATATACTAGACAAATAGTACTAATATTTGCATTCGCTATTAAGATTAAAGAGCTGTTTATAAAGTAGCATGGTGAATATTTCAGACAGTTCAGCAAGTACTTACTGATTTAAAAGGGTGTGCTTGTTGCAGGCACATTGGGATTTACAAGCAGTGTCCATTCATAATTCACACTTTTGTTATTCCTTGTTTTGCATTTATTTATTTAATAGGCTGCAAATATTTCAAACAGTCAGATCTTTAAGCATTTTCAATCAGCTGTTCATACTAATTTTAAAATATAAATGTATTAATGGTGAGATTCTGGACGTAACAGTTAACAAGACCTTTTGGTAGGCAGGGCAGGTTGAGAGTGCAGTTAACAAAACCAGGATCTGTATCAAAGGTCATAGAGTATATAAATGCAACTTATAATAAACCTGGAGAAAATGCTGGTTTACATAAGAACTAAGAGTGAGAGGCAGTTCAGCCCCTTGATTCTGCTGTGCCATCTAATAGAATCATGGCTGATCTTGTCTCAGTCTCAACTCCACTTTCTTACCCATTCTTCATAACCCCTCAATCCACCACTAAAGATCTGTTTATCTCCTCCGAAAATGTATTCAGTGTCTTGGTGTCTTCCACACCAAAGATTCATGACACTTTGAGCAAGGTAATACCTCCTCATCTCTGTCTTAAATCTGCCTCTCTTTAGCCTAAAACTATGACCTGCTGGTCTAGATTTCCCGTACAAGAGGAAACATCTGATCTACGTCTACTTTGTCCATTTGCCCTCCTTTTTGACAGCTGTACCTGCATACTAACTTCCTGTGACTTGTGCATAAAGGCACCCAGATCTGTCTGCACTTTATTAAAGTTTCTCTTCATTTAGATAATACTTTTTTTTTTAATCTTCTGACCAAAGTGGTTAACTTTTCTGAATTTCCCATTACTAATTTCTTAATAATGGATTCCAACAATTTCCCAACCATCCATGTTAAACTAACTGGTCTATCGTTTCTTAGTTTCTGCTTCCCTTTTTGAATAAGAGCATTAAATTTCCGGGAATCTTTCCAGAATCCAAGGAATTTTGGAATATTATAACCAATGAGTCCATTATCTCTGCTGACACTTCCTTTAAGACCCAAGGATGTAGGCTAAAACCCCCTCAGGACTTATATACCTTTAATCTGAATAGTTTGCTCAGTACATTTTCACTACTGATGGCAGTTGTTTTAAGTTCCTCCTGGTCAGTAATCACTGCACTACTCGTTACTATTCGGATTGTTTCAGTGTCCTCACTGTGAAAACTAAGGCAAAATATTGATATAGTGTTTCTGCCATTTCTGTGTGCTCCAGTATTAACTCCCAACTCTTGTCCTCTAGGGAACCAACGTTCTTTCTAACTAATCTCTCTTCCTTTTTATAGTATAGAAGCTTTTGCTGTCCATTTTTGTACTTAACCTTTGGCCTATATATTACTTCTTTGGTAACACTTTGTTAGTATTTAAAAGTTTCCCAGTCCTTTAGTCTGCCACTGACCTTTGCAATATGGTATGCCTTAGCTTTTGCCCTTGTTATATTTAACTTTCTTGCTTAGCCCCTTTATAGTCTTTCCTCCTCTTTTAGAATTTATTCTAGTTGGGAGGAAGTGAATATCTCATTAAATGTCTGTCACTGTTCATCAACTGTTCAGTCTTTCTGCCCAGTCCACTAAGGCCAAATCTGTCCTTATGTCTCTGTAATTACCTTTGTTTACCAGCTGAGCACTATTTGGGGGCTCACGTTTCTTATCCTCAAATTGAATTTCAAATTCCAGCTTGCTAAAATCACTCTTCCCGGAGGATCCTCTACTATGACATTTTTCATTAATTAACCCCATCTTATCACATCATGTCCAGTTCATAACCTCCAGGATAACTCAAAATGTTTCACAGCTGATTAAGTATTGTTGAAGTCATAAATGTAATAGCTACTGCCTTCCAGAAAAGGATTCATGAATAATGGAGAGCAGGAAAAGGGGAAAGTGCAGTGTTCATCACTTGATGTTAATGTGACTTTTCTGTTGTGCAGTGGCTGGTAAATCAGTTAAAATTAACAGTACAATAAATTTTTGCAAGCTACATTCTACGTTTTACACAAGTTTTTCTCTCCCTTGGTTTGTATCAATTTTAGAAATGAGAAGTGGGCATCAAATATATGTCCAGCAAAGTACAGAACTGCATCTACAATATGAAATAAAGTTGATTTTTTAAAAGTACTGTGATTGATAAACCACTGTTGAAAAATTTTCTAACTCACCCATTTTCCCTGTGTAAAGAGCCTTTTCTTAAATGTATGTGTAGGATATTGGAATATTTTGATTTACATTTTGTATATTAATTTTCTTTATAATTGCATATATCTGAAATTGACAATGAAACACTACTGGAAAGAATCTTCAGTAATCTAAGTGGCCTTTCTCTAAGTATTATGCTTGTGGCTTGGATCACCCTCCAGGATGTTAAATGGCTAATCTGGAGTCTGTGCCGGTGGTATGTTATGGTTCATTCTGTGGCATTGTGGCATCTTCCCTGGTTGTGTCCTGGATTGGAAATTGAACCTGGAGCTTCTCTCTCAGAAGCAGGGATACTACGCATTGCTGCACTACAAGACCTTCAGACGCTGTATTAATGCACTTTAAAATTACCTTGCCATTTTGATTATGAACTTAGGTTCCTTTGGAAAGTATGGCAACTTGCTGGCATGTTTGTCCAAACTTTCCTATACTTTAAGCCTAAAATTGTTGCTGTGCAAAAGTATAAGTCATTATGCCTGATG